GCTGAGGGAACTGGGACTGTTTAGTCTGGAGGAGACTAAGGGGAGACCTTCTCGCTCTCTACAACTACCTGAAAGGGGCTTGTGGCGATATGTGTGTTGGTCTGTCCTCCCAAGTAACTAGTGATAGGGTAAGAGGAAATTGCCTCAAGTTGCACCAGGGGAGGTTTAGATTGGATATTAGGAAGAATTTCTTCACTGAGAGTGTGATCAAGCATTGGAACAGGCTGCCCAGGGAGGTGGTGGAGTCACCATCCCTGGAGGTGTTAAAAAAAACGTGTAGACGTGATGCTTCGGGACATGGTTTAGTGGGCATAGTGGTGTTGGATTGATGGTTGGCCTTGATGATCTTAAAGGTCTTTTCCAACCTTAATGATTCTGTGATCTTGTTTAATGGTAGAAATAAATGAGTTATTACCCCAAACTGTATTGGATAAGGAGTTTGAAGATTATTCTTGCAAAACCAGACCTCATTCTTACCAAGTATACCATTGCTATAGCCTTCAAACATTCATCCTCCCATGGTAGAGCTAAGCTGCCTAGGAGAAGCTAGGCTTGTTTGGATAGGCAGCAAGCCAGGAATAATTTCACCACTTCCTAGCACTCAGTCCTCCTGCCCTATGAGATGATGTATTTACAGAACAACGTCATGGTCAGAGTTTGCAGGAGCATGAAGTGAAGGGCACTTACTTATTAAACAAGGTCCACGGACTCTGTTGGCAATGGTGTCCTCAATAAGTGAGTAGTCATCCTTCTTCTTGGTAGGTCACTAACTAGCATTAATCTTCAAAGTTTTTACAATGCATCACAGATATATTAATGCAGGAAGAGAGACAGCCTCATCCTACAGGACTTTTTTTGTTCTCATATGCCTGGTAGCTTGTTGTCAGCAAAGGATTGTTGAGACTGGCTGAGGTGATGGGAGTACATCTCATAGCAAAGCGTTTCCTCTATGCAAAACCTCCCTGAGAGCATTTTTTTGCCTCATCTTCAGGTTGCTGGTGGTGTACAATGGTACATAAAATATCTAAAAAGTGAGAGTTTCCAATAAACAAAGAGACTGACTATTTGATATTAATAGCCATTCCTTTAGTTAATAAATCAGTCTGTTAATAGCTTCTTTCAAAATAATTTTCTGTTGTACAAGGTGTCAAGATTCATAGAAATGCTCAAATAGGAATGCAGGAAGAAAGCAGTAACTTAAATAATGGACAGTTACCACGTTGTTCAAGGTGTCTGATTACTTTATCATTCAAGTACCATAACTCTTATCAATTGCACAAATCAATGAAACTTTTCTTTCTTTGGAGGAGGCCCCAGCCACGCTTCACAGATGTATAAACACTGGTCCCAAGAAAGAAGCAGAGCAACTGAAAAAAAAAAAAAAAAAAAAAAGTTGGCAGTGTTAGTGAAATTGTTGTATTGTTTATGGGCATGGCAAGCTATTTGTCATGGTTACATGGCTGAGTAAGCGAGGACACAAGTGGGTGCTGAGGATGCAGAGCCTTTTGCATAGTTTTGGAAGACCAGTTAAGATGGAGGGAGCCATGTCTGGTGCAGTCTTACTCCTTTTGCCTTTTGTGAGTATTTTCTAGAGTGAACTGGCCCCTGTGGCTCACGTTGGTGTTGTCTGGGAAGCAGCTAGGTGGAGTGATGGGGGAAAGGATAAAAAAGTAGGCCAGGAAGTGGGCTAAAACTAAGCAGCGTAAAAGAGCAGGAGTTGGTATTTCAGCTCACTTGCTCCCAGGGTTCTGTTTCACATCCATCCTCTAACAGATGTCACATGTGACCTAGAGCTGCTGAGAGATGTGCTCAAATGTTGTTCCTTCGCTAAGCGGCTGTGGGCCTGGGTGGTGTTGGAGACTGACTTACAAGGATGTCGAATGTCCAAAGAATATTTTACAAGTTTGCTGTTTTAAGAGTCTTGCACTCACACCTAGTTCTGTCTTCAAAATAGCTTTGTTTCCAAAAGCTGTGGTATACCTGCTTAGAGGTTTTCTGTTGCGATGCTGTTTTGGCGGAAGGGTACTGGAATCATGACTGATGCCTGGCCAGCTCCAAGTGACTAGCTTGTGAACCGTCAAGAGTAAACGCCATGTGGATGGCACGTCTGTCATTGCGGGATGGCTTTTCTTTGGTGAAGGATGATCAGTTACAGCTTGTAGCTTACTTCTAAGCAGCAGCAGACAGACTTCAAGTGTAGATATATGGTAGGAAAATGCCTGAAGGTGCTTGTTACTATCATGCTTTGCTAAACAAAGAGCTGGGTTTGTGGTTCAGCTGTGATAAATGATTGAGACCTAGCTGGAGAATAAAGTTCATGAGTATTTATTGCCTGTCCTTGTAATGATTCTCTATTTCTTTCTTACGGCTTCTCTCCTGATTCCTTAACCTTCAGTGTCTTATTATGGTCAAATATAGTAACTTTAAAAAAATAAAATAAGTATGGCTTCTGCTTTGCATGAATGTTCCATGGAAACAAAGCTTCTATTTTGAAGCTTTGCTGAATTGTATGGGTAAAATTGATCTTGTACTCTAGGATTAACAGTTGAAGTGCTTGGTCTTTCATCTGTAACGTAAAGCTTGTAATGGTTTTCAGTTATCAAATAATTGGCTATCATAGTCAAATGTTTGCTTGAGGGTGTTTTGTTTTACCATTTCCAATCTAGTTTGGACAAATGAATACTTTCCAGATATTACCCACTTTTATTGTATAATAAAAGTAAAAACTGTTTTCTCTTCTTCTAAAAGGCTTATAACAAAAAGAAAAAGGAAACATGGGGAGTCTGTATCTTTATTGTAGCAATTGATCTGGATGAAATGACGTTCACTTTCACAGAGCTTCTGAAAAGTATAAGCTTAAGGTAAGTGAGTTTAAGTGTGTGAATTTAGATTTCAACAGTTAACTAGTCAACATTTTTATGAAGAGAATGTTATGAAGAGAATGTTTTTAAAGCATTGTGAATCTTTGTGCATATCAGGCTATTTGTTTTTAAAGTGAAGGTTACTTATGGGAATTCTGAATATTTTGGTAAACTAGGAATCTTACTGTCATATTTTAGTTGAGGGAGTGATGATACTTGTTTGATTCAACTGTGATTGGCTTTGATTGTATCATGCAGCTGATTCTTGCTCAACCTAAAGTCTTCATCAACTTAACTTGGTGTAAATTACACTTAAAATATTTTCCTTTCTTTCCCTGTATCAAGATCTTCTGTAAAACCTTTTTTCCAATATTAGGCTTAGACTAAATCAAGAAGTGGAAAAAAATGTTACTCTTCAAATAGTTTGTCAGCATGCTGCTCTTTTCGAACATTTTAATGCCAGTCTAAATTTTGTACTTTTGTACATGCTTTTTGTTAGTGTTTTGTTACTGTTATATTGTATATTCACTAAGTCCATAATATAGAAATTAACATTATAGGACAATGTCTGCTCTTAAGGTCAATTTACGTGGCAACAGCAATAGGCATGCTTTGCATTAGATTCATTTAAGGAAAGAATTAGTGCCATCTGCCTAATAACTGTGCCATGTGTCAACAGCATGTGCAGGAGCAGAGCCTTTGGATGTTCTAGGGCAGGAGGCTAAGGCAGAATGGTGGGCACGCTGTGGTGGTAGCCCCAGACTTGGGCCAGAATATCCTTTTCCTGGAAGTCATCTGTAATGATTAGACTTCTCCCTGCCTCTTCTACCTTGCATCATCTAGAGCAGCAGTAGTCAGGTGTTACATTTCAGCTTAATTTCTTCAGTCTTGACTGACTTGGAACTGTGTGGATGAAGTCTAATTGCATTTGTGCAGCGACGTTCAACATGTTCCTCCTGAGTACAGACCAACTTATGCTGCAAAGTGAAAGAGACTTTTTCCCTTAGAGTTTCAAAAAGTAAGCTATTACTCTGATGATTTTGATTTTAGCAATACTCAGTTGCGTGTTAGCCCTGGGATTTTTGTCAGCTACAAGGTCAAACTGGCAGAGATTTCTATCAGTCATCTTATTCTCTAGAGCCACACAGATGTATTGGAAAGACTTTCCATTCCATGGTAAAAGAATTCCTCAATGAACTTCTGACTGATTTTATATTCTGGTTTTTAATTTGAGAAAGATCAAAAAATGTCTCAGAATTCTGTATTTTCATGAAGGATCAAAATATATTTGATATAGTTGAAGTAGTTGAATATATTTGATAGCATCCTCCTCATTAATTTGTAGCAATCTGCTCATTTTGGTTATGACCATAACAACAAGATGCGTTCTTGATGGCATCATAGGGAAAACTTTGGTCCTCCAAAAGGTGGGGATGTTCTTGCCCCCAATACCTGCTGCAAGACTTGAAATTCTGTAGAATTCAGTGCATTCATCTCAGTTTTCATTCCTAAGTCTCTCTTTAGCATGGATGGAGCCAAGGTTCATGTTCTTAGAGTAGTAAGAACATTTCTAAAGTAGAACTTTTAGGTAGAACAGAAGAGTCAAGATGTCTGCGTTGGATATTTTTGGTTTTACTGTCAGAGCAAAGAAGAAATACATGTCTAGTTAGCAAATTCTGACTTCTGAAGATAGTATCTGTGCTAGCCAAGAAAATTCTTTTTCTGTAGTAGAGCCCCTATTGCGAGATGCCTCTGCTACCGAGTTGAACAGTATTCCTACATCTGGAAAATGTAAAGGTGGGGCTCAAGGTAAACAAGTAGTGTTTCCCAAGGCAAGGTTCTCAGTCACTGCTAGTTGTAGTAAGAATATGCTGCAGTCTAGTGAAGTAAGGCAATGGGTTTTGGTGGGGTTATCTTTTTTTAAGAGCTATTTCTCAGCGTTATGATAATCTGTCATCCTTGTCTCTTTTTTTCAGTGTATGCACATTTTTTCAGTTTCTGAAAGAGGTGGATGTTAACATGGATACTGTAAGCACTAAAGTTGATAGCACTGTATCAAGGCTGAAAAAGAAATATGATGTATTACTTGCACTATACCACAAGTTTGAAAGGTATTACCCATTTTTCATTTTGAAATTACAAATTTATTATGGATGTCAGCATTTAAGATTTTTCAAACTGTATATTAGAAGAGCCCATTTAAACTCTGTGTGCTAATATTTACAGAACAGTGAAATGGAACTGTTTACATGCATTGAATAAACCTATCTTACATCTTACTCCATAACTATTACAATGCTTTGTTAAACAATCCCCTTGTTGCAGTACAAACAGTACTGACAAGTGGTTGCTAGTCCCTTTGTTAAGCTTTTTAAAGATATAAAGAGGATCATTTTCCTATCTAATATTTTTTTACTTAATGGACTTTCCATTTCTACCTGCCCACTCCTCCCTAAATCCTGATCCAAGAGTTTCTTTCTAAGGAGCTCTGGAAAAAGAAAAAAAACACAAATAGTTTCTTGTTTCCAGATCTGGAAGTGAAGGCTGTTTGTTCCAGTGTCTATGGGTATTGCAGAGCCCGCTCTATTAGCAGTTCTCGCTTGTAATCAAGGTAAACCTTCCCAAGTGATTTAGCTGACCATACAATGAAAATCGAGGGGCATTCTCTTTGTACAGAACATACTGAATGTGCTTATGGCAGAGTGCTAAGAGCTTTGTATCAGAAGAGCAGCAACCTGCAATTTATCTGCAAGTGTTGAAGCAGCCAGTGGCATTGCTGGAAGTCAAGCCAAGACATGGGGAAAGCCAGCTGGAGAGCTAGAGTTTTTCCTCCAGAAAATCACAGAATCACTAGGTTGGAAAGGACCTGCAAGATCATCATGTCCAACCATTAATCCAGCGCCACCATGTCCTCTAAACCATGTCCTGAAGTGCCATATCCACACGTTTTTTGAACACTTCCAGAGATGGCGACTCCACCACCTCCCTGGACCGCCTGTTGCAATGCCTGACCACCCTCTCAGTGAAGAAATTTTTCCTAATATCCAATCTAACCCTCCCCTGGCGCAACTTGAGGCCATTTCCTCTTGTCCTATCACTAGTTACTTGGGAGAAGAGGCCAACACCCTCGTCGCCACAACCCCCTTTCAGGTAGTTGTAGAGAGCGATAAGGTCTCCCCTCAGCCTCCTCTTCTCCAGACTGAACAACCCCAGTTCCCTCAGGGAACTTGGGTTGTGTAACTTGTATATGTGTAACTTGAAAATCGGGAGATTCTCAAATGGATGCTTTTTTGAGTTGCTGTTACTCCAAGGTGGTAAGTTGCTGCACTCTATGCTTTAACATGAAGACAAGGATGATAAAGGCTTTAGATCCTTTTACAGGCTAGTATGTGCTAGCACCAATGTGTACTGGCAAGATCTGATACCCTCTGAGGCAATTTTTAATCGTTCTGTGAAATTCTCTATAGCATATACCAGTAGAAAACTGTTTCATGTTATTAAACATTGAAGCATTGTTCCATGATGCTTATATTACTTGATACTGTTGCTGTGGAATTTTTCACCTACAGGAATTTGAGTCACTGTAACGTTTTGCCTCCCAAACCACATAAGGGTCTCAAATAGCCCTTAAATGACCCTTGAAAGGGGTAGCAGGTCACCCCTTGGTAGTGTATAGAATCAAGGCATAAATGGGATAAGAGTTCTATTCGTGTTTTCAAAGTCCAACCAATCACACTTACTGTTATCCTAGGTAATGTGTATGTCACAATATTTCTGTAAAGTTAATAGTTGCCTTAAAGCTATGAAGTTCTATGAAAGCTGTAAATAATTTGTTTTTACTAATTGCAAGTCTTTTCTGGGCTATAAAAGTGTCATTGAAGATTTACACAGGCATGTTTTGGTTTTTGTCCCTTCTCTAACTCTTCCTCACTTGCTTACTTTTTTGAAACTTGTGTTGCAGTAACAATTTATTTTCAAACAGGATTTGAAAGATTTTTTTTTCCTGTTTTGTTTTTGAATAAACGGAATTTATTTCTTGAAATGACATGTACCTAGAATAATTAGGAAGCAACATTACGGCACAAGGCTTGCAGTGACACCGCAGAAATAGTAAAGGTTTTAAAATGCCCTTTTAGAGAGTGTTCTGCACAGCTGTAGCACATACATTGCTCTGTTTTACAAGGCACTGAGTAACAGTGTACATACAAATCTGGTCCTTCTGGGAAGAAAACAATAACAAATTTTATTATGCCAAATTAAAATTGTTTTGCTGTTTAAGCTTTGACATAAGCACACAAGCAACAGCATTATTTCAGCTCTGGCAGGGCTGTAGTTGGTCTATTGTTAATCTGTTCTCCAAGAGTCAGTGTTTTTTTTTAAGTTAGAATAAAGTTTTGTGAACTGGTGTATTTTTTACTACATTGAAGTCAAAGATACTGCAGACTTTGCTTTCAGAAAAGTGTTTATTTTTAAAGAATTTATTTTTATTTTCTAGGACTTGTGGCCTTATTTATCTGGAACAACCTAGTAGTGAGTAAGTTTGACTTTCCTAAATTGCATTTGTCAAGATAAGATGTAAATGTGTCAGCATTTTACCTTTTAACCCATGAAGATTCACCTAAGTCTTAGTGTATCGTGTTTAATTTAGATGTAGTGGGGACTTTGAATTTCAGTGGGATGATGAGAGCTGCAGAAGTGATATATATTTAATCACTTCCTCCATGAAGGTTCGCCACCCAATGGCGGGTGTCTCGGCATGGTGGAAACGAACATTTGGAGAGTGAGCTTCCTAATAATAGCAACAAATGAGTGGATGAAAAGATGCCTTAGCAACTCCCAAATGAGCTTGAGCACATGCTGTGACTGGAGAATAGGGAATTAGTCAAAGGCACAAGAGAGAAAACAGCTTGTAACAGTTAAGTGAATTATCTACATTCACTTTCTTTTCGAAGGACGATACAGGTATTTCCTGATTCTTGAATGGCTTTACGGAGACTTAATTCTGTCAAATGTGTAGTCATAATTATGCAGGGAGTGGAATGAGATTATTAATAAACTTAACTCTACGGGAAATATTGCATGTTGTCTTAAATTGTTCCATGGACTGAAGCATTTTTCAGAACTTATAGTTGAAATCATTACAGAGCTCTTAGTGCAAAGCCTTTATTCTTGTGTCTCTACAGGATTTCTGCTGAACTCAGTTCTGTATTAGTCCTAAAAAATTACTGGATTACTTTTTTGCTGGCAAAAGGTGAGTTTTCATTAGAAGACAGTTATTTTAATGAATACTGTTGAAGTGTGTTAATGGATTTTTTTACATGTCCAGCATGAGACTATCATCCTTATTACAAATATGCATAGTACAGGCCCAGAATGCTTTGATTGAATGGCTTTTGTAACTACTCAGTAATATTTCTTTTTATGCAATTTGGCTATTATTTTCACTGGTATTACTTCCTGTGTATAAATGTATATATTTTAAAGATTTTTTTCACTTTCAAGGTTGATATTCTGTATTTGAGTCTATTCTGAGGTGCTTTATAGTCTGCCAATATTTTAATAATGGATGATTACCTGAAAAGATGGGCAGATTTTTAAAACTAGGCTTATATATGTTATAAATAT